AGGCGTACGGACAGTGTTAGTTATCGCAAAGTGACAAGTGATCGACAATAAACAGACGGTACTTTCTGAGTTGAATCGTTTTAAAAAGATTGAAATTTTTCATCGGCGACAAGTACCTAGGTATCATATACCTAATTCACGGCCGCTTGCGTCCGGCGGCGACAAATACCATTAGGACGTAAAATCTACTCTTAGATCGGCCCTCAATTTCCCTTTAGGTAAATAAATTTACAAATTTCAGGTAACAACACAATAAGGGTCAAAATTATAATATTTAAGTCGGAACCTTTAAAATCCTACTACCTACCTACCTACCTAACTAATAACAGATACAAATGTTATATATCTGGTGGGAATGTTTTCGATAAGGTTGTTTTAAAATTTTGCAAAAAAAATTATGATACTAAAGAGGCGCAATATATATATATATATCTATCTGAATACACATATCGCAATTGTTTGTTACGCGAATACTTTGAATTGGTAATTGGAGTTATGAATTTATTTGAATTCGTTATACTATACATAATCGATCTTAACAAGTTCGCATGAGCGTAAATTATACTTAAAAAAAGTGTCCCTATTTAGCCGAATGTACCAATTTTGTCATTAGTTATTATCGATACGTCTTAACTGCCTATAGGTGCCAAATTGTAATTACATAGACAGGCACTGTCGCGAATTTAATAGTAGTCTAACTTTGTCAAACTTATTATTGAAAGCCTCATAATTACTATTTTCACCTGGATTAGTTTATTTTTATGATGGCCTTTATTAGAAACTATAGAAGTGTGTAGTGATTAAGAACGATACATGATGGTCTTTCACAATTTTAAATGTCGTTGAAGTAAACGTTACCAAAAACATTCGTAAATCATTTTTAGAAACAGTTGTTAAACAAAAACTTTTTTATTGCGTAATCACCGAAGAAATTTCTGCCAATTGGGATGAACAATTACCTTCGTATATCTATTAAGTTTTTCGAACTGTATGTGTACCTGTCTAATACAATTTCCAAGGTATCGATATCAATATCTACTGCTGCTTTAATATAATAATTTCGAAATCTGATGTTATAGAAAGTTATTTTTTATTATAAACTATTCCGTTTATGAATGGCAAGTCGTAATAAAATTAATGGTAGATACGTTCGTACCCAACTTACTATACATATAAGTACATAGACTGATAGTTAGGTACCACTTGTTGCGTTATGAACTAAGTGCATGTAGGTAATACAATAAAACGTCGAAAATTGCAAAAATGCCGATTATGAACTGAGACACTATATCGCAAACTAAAGAAAATATTTGACGTTAATGGATGTAAACGTTTATGCTTGGTCTAGAAAACCGATTTATTTCATGCGAATTTATATTTCGGGCACGACTGTTTTAGTCTACTAAAATTTTATGATACTCAGTCATTTACATAGCTACACACGTGTTCTTAACAGGTTACTACTAGGCACACACTAGTGTCAATGTGAACCAAAACTTTATTGAATTTTGGTATTCGTTTATGTTTTATTCCGTTAGTTTCAGGTACCTGCTTATATGTACAACTATATTCTTTTTTCACGAACTATATCTACCTAATATCTTTTATTTTATTTTATTTTCAAACGAACAAATCACATTTTAACACATTATCTAGAATAACAGTACCTAAGTAATGTTAACCGCTGTGTTAAAACGAAAAAAATAAAAAAGTGTACCCATATTCGTAGCATGTTGTATACATTAGAAGTAGAAATTTCCAAGAAACGCTTGGAACTTTGTACTTACGTTAGTGCCTACGTCTATTATAAAAATCTGAATTGTATACGATGTCCAATAAAATCGAGGCCAAATGAAATTAGTTCTGATTAAAATAATTAAATGTAATTATAGGGAGACATGTCTTTTTACGTAGGAATACTGAAACGTTGTAAAACACCAAAGTTGCAAGAAAATTTATTGCAGAAATAACAATAATTGTGCTTCATCTTCACCTGATGGAGGCACTGACATGTGATGAAACTGTTGTTATTGTTTGTACAACAACTTCGGCGTTTTAAGTACTTTATTTCAGGTATATAGATACTGATTTGATTACAATTAGTAAGATATTATTGACGGTAAGGTAAACTTCAGCTCATGCGGCAAAGGGAAAATTGAAATAGTACCTATTTTCAAAGTCAATTTATCTATATGTAGTAGATATTACACACCCATTGGTAATGTTAAGATATGTTTTAGAGAGTTGATATATTTATTAGGGTATGCGAGTAGGTATGTAGATTTGCAGTGAATATATTGTAGGGTATTCATCAAAAGCGCAAGAAGTATGATTGATATATTGGGATATGGTTCAGGGCAGACAGGGTGTCAAAAGGACGCTTAGACAGATTCAGATTCCTCTCATGTTACCTGTTCTGCACAAATACAAAGCCGTCATGCGTGCTAAGTTTTATACACACGCTGCTACCTTTTAAAAAACGTACCATTGTATGCAACAAAAGATATGATACCTTCCTATAGTATAATACCCTACCACCGCTACTACTTGTTACCTACACGTCTCCCATAATTTACCCACCTCACATTTTCAAGCCGCAAACCTAAATAATAACTTACACGACATTATATTTCAGCTGTAAAAGTCAAAATCATTGAAACTTTCTTATGCACATTATCTACTTAATAATTTTATAAGTATCCATAAATAATCATCCCGTACATCTTCACTACTTATCGCACCAGAAAGGGTACATATCCATAACTTTCTTTTTTTATTGTTAAAGTTGTTTCTCATATTTGAAATAAACGCGAGTATCTATCTATTACAAAAAAATCAAAAAGTAAAAACGTTAAAAAACTAAACACGTTTCGACATCCAAGGTGTCATGATCAGTTAGAGCAGCAGTTAAATTTTTAATTTAATTAACTGATGCAACGTTTGATTTTCAGTAATATTTTCTTTTTTTTGACTGAAAATGTTAAATTTTGAATTTTAATTTAATTCAATTCTGAAGTGCGGCACTCTGATACCGATTGTAGACGTTGAACTGGTGCGATTGGTATATAAAGGTGTTAGAAAGAATTATTTACACAGAAAACATGATTATGCATTTATTAGCGAAGCAATGTATTTACCTGATAGGCATATGTATATAGGGCTGTGCTCAAAGGTTTCAAGTACCTAACTACCTGCGATCGAGTCTTTCAACAGTCAAAGGGAACAAACCAAGTTACGTACCGAATATGTTGACGGTTGCTGCCGACATAGAATACCAAACGATAGGGTAGCTAAATTTTAACAACCGACAAATAAATTGGTAGTTCTATAAACAATTTGTAAAATTCGATAATTGTGAGGCAATTAAATGTGATCATCACGTCTAATAACATAAATCCCTTTTCTAGAGTGGAAATACATATTATATAAACAACTAAATGTTGAATGAAATGTTTATAAAGGGGTTGTTGTTGCAAATGGTTAGGTATCTACTCGATTACATACCAAGTATGTTTTGGTGAAATAATACACCTGGATGTACATTATTCATGCAAAAATGTGATGTATCTTTTTATAAAAGTAGATTAAGCAGATTTTAATTTAGAAAGTTGCACATTACATGCATCTAATCTTTTGAATACGCCCATGACTGTTCCGTATGCACTTTCCAACCAACCACACTATAGTCACTTTTAAATATTATCTTTTGCATTTTCGTTTCGATAGTTTAGCAAATAGAAAGTTTCTCTCATAAAATAATCTAATAAAATACAATGTCTACAGTATCTTTAACAAACTTATGTGTTGATATGACAAAAGAGTGGCCCTTTTGAGGTTTTTATGTCTGTAGGTACAATGTATTGACCAATTAATTAATTGCCATTGAAAAGTAGAAGGGAATTCCGCAATTACCCTGCACTTAAGTCGTGCGATTTTAAAATACTAATTAATATGCTGAACTAGATAATAAACTAAATGTTGATGGCTGCTTTTTATGGTCGACTATGGTGATTTTTTGTCTGTTTAAGTTAAATTCTACAATAAATTTACCTAATATTGGTTAGCCTGTGGTAAGTGGGATAAACATATTCACGGAATATAAATTTGCAATCACTAGGATAAGTAGGTATAGCATACCCAATCTCTCATAGCATCGATAGGAGTTTGCCAATATATAAACTAGTTAAGATCATTTCAGACATAATCGCGTAGATTTTTAATTATATTTACTGAAAGCAAAAAGTCCAGAAACCGTTATTTTTAATACCTAAGTTTGTAGGTATATACATTAGAAAAAAATATTGAAACGATTTTACAAACATAACTTAACATTATATTTAGTTTTAGAAAATAAATGTTTTGGTAGTAAGTATATTGAAAAAGTGCAATAAGATTAGCTATACTTATGTGTTGTGTGTTTAGGACATTTTATTATTAAATTATGCGATCATTAAACGTTGACGAAGGGGTAAGTGATAGAAAAAAGTGACGTTGATTGACGATCTTACATTAATCTTTTAGCACTTCTCACAGATGCTAGCTTTGTTCATAATATTTATTCAACGAAGCAAAGGTAATAAAGGATGTGCCATTTAGATTTAAGAATATAATATTTGGCATTCTGGTCGAATAGTGGTAAAAACAAATACATACTGTTTATATAGAAATATCTAGGTATGAACAGTATCTTATGGAATTTTATGTAATGTAGGTAATTGTACGAAATAGGAAACTAAATTATGAACAAGATCTGAAGTTGAAAATTGAAATATATGTATAGGTACTTAACAAAAATAGATAATAAAATGTTTTTCCGTCACAAATATGCACATAGAAACTTATAGAAAAATCCTGTAAAAATTAGACCAATTCCACCACACTGTTAAACCTGCTCCTGCTGTTGTTGTTTAAGTGTCACATAAATGAGTTTTCTGCTATTCAATCAAAAATAAAATAAACTTGTTGCAAGTCCTTTTCACTGATTCAGTAATTTTTCGCAGAAAACGCAAAGAAAATTTGGAGACCAACGGCGGTACACATTCAAGGAGCGGTGCAGGTTTACCAGTGGCGGTGCCGCGGGTAATGGCCGAATTGCCCGAGGGGGGCAGCGCCCCTCCCGATGACCAACAAACTTGGCGAGCCTACTACGAACACCCACTCACTGCAGCCACCACTGCTATGTTAAATATCGGCGCCGGTGGCACCGATGACCAAACAGCCACAATGGGTCTGATCTGTGAATATTACAAAGTGCCATCATTACTTTCCGGTGATTCCAAGGATAAATTAGCTGAATTATGGCCGTAAGTCTACTCAAATTTTATCATTTCGTTCATAAATAACTATTACCATATAGTACTATCTGATATAGCAGTATTAGCATCTAGCAAGGAGGACCTAGAGATCAGTGCTGTATGAAAATAAATAAAAGTAAAACTAAATTACTGGTATGCAAGGGAAGAATAGGTAGGGAAAGAGCGAATATAAAAATAGGAGACTAAAAATTAGAAGAAGTGAAAAGGAGTTTAGATATCTATGAAGTCAGATAAGTCAAGACGGAAGGAGTAGTAGGGATATAAAGCAGAGGATAGCGCAGGGTCGTGTCGCCTTTAATAAAAAGAAGTCACTTCTATGCTCGCGAACAGTTAATTTAGAAATTCGAAAAAGGTTGTTAAAGGTGTATGTTTGGAGCACGGCGTTGT